TTAAAATAATACTGTGGGATATATTTTGTTACAGTTTAACTTACATTTTGTCTTGTCTCAGGGCACATAGAGCTTTCAGAAGAAGTAGACTGCTTGAAATTTAAAGTTGGTGCTAAAAATATTCTCTAATGTTAAAATGGTCCTTACAATATAAATCCTCTTTTTGTTTTTTCTTTGTCTGTTTTTAATTTATATTTAATAATCCCTGTATAAACCTCTGCGTCTTCTGCGCCAGGTGGAACAGCATCGTAGAGCTGGTGGAGCAGAAGAAAGACCAGCTGAACTCAATGTTACGGCTGCAGAATTACCTACTGGAGTGTGCTGAGATCAAATCCCAGATCCAGGACAAGAGGAAAGCCATTGATGCCACACAGTACATGGGCAGCGATTTGGGAGGGGTCCTTGCTCTGCAGAGACGCCTTTCTACCATGGAGGGAGCCCTGTCTGTCTTGGAGCCCAAACTGCTACATCTACAGGTACAGGAGTCCTTTCTTAAATTCAGACCTGCTCTTCCAGATTTATTGCCAGATTTTTTGTCCTATTTTAGTTTTAATGTATAATGAAATTTAAAAAGGAGTGTGTTCATTGTTTTCCTGATAAAGGAGGAAGCAGAGTATCTGGCCACTGCTCATCCAAGTCGAACCATGGAAATCCTTGTGCCGTTCGATGGCATCAGCGTGGAATGGGAGGAGCTTAAGAGGACCCTGCAGGGATGTGAAGACTCACTGATGGTGGCTAGCAGGCTCCAGAGCTTCATACAGGTATGTGTAGATAAAATAAACAACAATATAACAAAGTTCTTGGGCTAAAACAAATGCATATGCAGCATGTTGTAATGATTTTGAACTATAAGGCAAGGGGAGAAGAAATGAAAGACACCCTTGAAGTATTTTTTTAGATTTAAAAGATAAAGAAGGAGGCGGGGGCTGCTAATTAAATCTTTTTTTTTTCTTTTTCTTTTTTACTATTTGCTGTTCTGAGGCAGTGTGGTGTGCATTACAATGTTAGGACAGAAAACATAAGTAGTGGCCTTAAAGAAGCAACCTTTTCTTTCTCTTACACAATTAAAACCAATAAATCTTAAGAACTAGAGATTCTTCCCAAGAGAAAACACCAAACACATTGATCAATCTTCCCATTTGTAGGAAGGCTTTAGGGCAATCTATGAAAGACCCAAGATTTTATAGCCCACATTTAGCATGTGACATGTAATCATGTTCATGACAGAACAATCATAGAAATTACCATTTTAGAAGGTTGAAGGAGAGAATATTGCCCAAGTTTGCATATATTTGCATCTCAATGATTCAAAGGACACGTAGAGATGTTTGGTCATAATCAGTAATCTAGTTTTAAAAAAACTAAGGGGGATGGTGGATATTTTATTTTATTTTTAAATTTTTTGAAAGCAGACATAGCCTAATTAATATAGTCTATTAAACTAAAGCACTGTTCATGGTGTTGTTGTTCCATGTCAGGTAGCCGGTCATTGACCAAGGCACCTTACAGTAGAACTGCAGTCAGTCCCTGGACTGGCATGGCTATCATTGCCCCTACATAGTTAGGGACAAATGCAGAGGAGACATTTCCAACTGGGAACAGCTTCATAGTCATAGTAGGACACTTCTTTGATTTTATTTATTTTGCTCAGGCTACTCATAAACACACAGCCCACCAAATGTTGAAAGGGCAATATTATTGCCATTACTGTTAATATATACCGTATTTTCACGACCATAAGGCGCACCGGACTAAAAGGCGCACTCTCAGTTATGTGTCCCATTTCTGTATTTAAC